AAATGTCACCACCATCTCATTATCTGAACACCAGGATTACCCACCACAGATATTGAACAGTAAAACTCCAACTTCCAAGTCATAGAAAGGATCACATCCAACAAAATAATATAAAATTGAAAGGACCATGCTTCATTTCTGAATCGAGTATATAAAGAAACACCATAAGGTTTCTTTAGAGAGTCAGGAACAAATTCAGGAAATTTGCTAGGAAGGTTTGAAATGTAAAAGTTAAGCTTCAGCTTTGAATAAGAAAAGGGAAAAACAAAAATTGTATCTGAGTACCCCACTTAGTATTAGCACCTCTCAATTCTATATCCTGGAGGTTTCAAAAAGCACATGATTCATCCACTGGGTTAGCAACTATAGTGTAAAGGATAGAAAAAGAACAAGGTATTAAAATCTGCAAGGTAAACAGGTCAACATTAAAGTGTTACAGGTAAAATTCCATAAAATAAAACCTCACAAGCAAACCAAAATCTCCCTATTAATAGCAACATGTATTACAATACCATTTACACTTACAAGAAACAAATCACCATATTCAAGTAGAATCAATTTCAAATATGACCACACAAACAATTACTTCTAGATACAGATAGATGAAACAACCCAAATGTAAGCAATGACTGACCTACTCACATCACAATAAAGCACTCTCCAGAATGGAGAGCAAAAATGAAACAATCTTTAAAACCAAGAAAAATAAACATTCTTACTCTCAGGTCAATAGAGGCTGTCATTGTCTTGCTACTCTAGTGTGACCAGCAGTGTAGGACAAAGTCTCCATGATTGGATCACTGTTCACATCTGTTTAGCAAGATGGTAGTTCATTGGCACACAGTCAAGGGAATGCATAAGGTATGCAGAGGTGATGTGCTGGGTGGGGATCGGAGCCATACTGTATATAAAAAGACATCAGTACAGAAAAAGATAGGACACCGCAACTCTTGACAGTTTATATACAGCCATGTACCTGAGCCACCATATTACTGCTATTGTGATTTCCATATTGTCATTGTCCTACGCTTATTTCTGTTACAAAGGCTTTGACACTGAGTGGGCACTTAAAAAAATTGAGAAAATATGATAACTCATTTTGAAAAGATACTCACAGTCCAAACCAGAAGTCAGATTTCATCATCAGCACCTATACTACAGAGATAAAACAAAATATAGGTCATTCTCAAATGCAAAAAGGATCAGGAAAGCAGATCAAAAGTTGTAAACTCTGAACTCCATGTCCCCAGGAGCAACTATGTAAAAGGATTTAGGTCAGATGATGGTGATGGCCAGCACAAAATGAGCTTTTCCCTCCATAGAATTCATTTGCTGACTTGGCTGCATGCTTCAGATTATTGTTTTGCTAAAGTGTGACACTGTCATATGTTCAGTGAGCAAGCAGTGACCAGGCATAATTTCCATCTGTACTCATTTTGTTTCTGAGTACTTTAATTTTCTTCAGTAATGAAAAGTTGTTTTGTTCCTAAAATATAAAACAGGCCTACACCATGCTGAAACTGCTAACCATGCTTGGCAGGAGGTACAATGAGCTGTTCTTTGTAGCATTGCCTCTCTTCATGATGTCTGTAAGTGTTAGTCTAGGATTCAGAAGAAAATTGAACAGTTTTCGATTTTACCAGGTATGCCCATATGCTTTCCAGTTTAGAATATTTCTTGCACGTTTGCGTGTATCTTGTTAAAAAAATACTTTGCACATCGGTCTCAACTGCACAAATCACGAGAAGGGTATAAAATGTTTTCAGAGATACTATGAGTTATCATTGTGTGGGAGTTTTAGTTGGTTGGGGAATTGGGAGAACCATATCGTTTATTGATATAATAATAATTGCTTACACTTATGTAGCGCTTTTCTGGACACTCCACTCAAAGCGCTTTACAGGTAATGGGGACGCCCCTCCACCACCACCAATGTGCAGCATCCACCTGGATGATGTGACGGCAGCCATAGTGCGCCAGACATCAGCTATTAGTGGGGAGGAGAGCAAAGTAATGAAGCCAATTCATAGATGGGGATTATTAGGAGGCCATGATTGGTAAGGGAAATTGGGAAATTTGGCCAGGACTCTGGGGTTACACCCCTATTCTTTTCGAGAAACGCCCTCGGATTTTTAATGACCACAGAGAGTTTTTTACATCTCATCCGAAGGACAGCACCTGTTTACAGTATAGTGTCCCCGTCACTATACTGGGGCATTAGGACCCACATGGACTGGCCCCACTAACACCTCTTCCAGCAGCAACCTTAATTTTTCCCAGGAGGTCTCCCACCCAGATACTGACCAGGCTCACACCTGCTTAGCTTCAGTGGGTTACCAGTTGTGAGTTGCAGGGTGATATGACTGCTGGTTTTAAAGAGATCATTGCAAATGTGCCCACAGGTAAGGTGCAAGCAATTGCACATGATAACAAACAAAGCTTTCTGCTGCTGTTGTTGCTCATTAGTGGTCTCCTAAAATAGGCTGATGGAGAGACACATTGAAAAACAGAGAGGGAAATGCCGGATAACATAAGCCTCTGCTTAGCGGTCCCTGTTAAATGGTTAACGGTTGTCTCTTGGTTGCAAAGGGTAAACAGGTTTGGTTAAAACATCGCTCATTAGGTGAGGAGGTTGGAAGGAAAAGCACGGTTGGCTTTCTGAAGAGGCACAGTATGTTTAGCCACCACAAAGAGAGCATTCTCTTAGCAGTGGGTTTGCTCTATATAGGTAATAAAGGCAATTTCAAGAGCGGAGGAGCAACAGTTAGCTATGCTCACTGGGTTAACTCCGAAGGTTAAGAGTTCAGGTCTTGGTTCTGCGGTTAGTATGGAGGTGTAGTTCTAGGGAGAAGGCCATGCCAGGAGCTGCTAGGTGGGATGTAAG